ATTAACACTGAGGAGCTAAAATTTTGAGAGCTAATTTTTTTAAAACTACTTGTGCGATTTTTACAAAACGTGGTAATTTGGCGCAATTTGAGTTGTAGAATCGAAATATGAAAAAAAAATTGGCATTGCATTTCAGAAAAAGTCTGATTTTTGTGTCAAAATACCTATATTAGAACAATGCTATATATAAATCTAATAGATATCTTTAGTCACGCTTTCGAGACATGAAAAATGCAAGTTTAGTTCCATCAATCGGATCGGTAGAATGGGAGATATAGAACTGTCTCCCCCCCTCCTCCGCAGTATACCTAATTGTGGTCATGTATCTTCAATCTATCATTTTAAGTACTTTACAAGATTTCTTACCAAAAATATAATATTGAAGATGACAATTCAGTTTTTAGTTTAACATAATAATAAAAATGTGTAGCTTTTATAAATAAAATACTTTTAAGTTTTACGTAGAAAATGATCATGTTAAAAATATTGAAATTCCCCATTTTTCCCTTGAAAAGGTTTTATTCCTGTTAATTAATTGGAAGCTCCAGATGATTATTATTCATATATATTAGATGTGGCTCATTCAATGTAATCGCAGTTAATGTTATCATTTGGGTACTGTTGTCAAATTGAAGTCCTGCCTGTATATATGGAGAAAATGCTCTGTTTATTGTAAATCACCAATTTGTTTAACCCTGCAGTGCTCGCGGGGCATATTGTTACGTTAGAGGTCACGCGGCGTCTTACAGACTCCAGGTATAATTTTGCTGTACTAATATATATTTAGGTCATTTAGTTCAAATTTATGAATGCAAAGGGATTATTGATGTAACGCATGTATATTTGTGGCATCATATTACAAACACAAATTAACAAAACTTCAGTTTACAGTGAAACTTAATTTTATTCAAATTATGCAAATACAAGTGAAATTATCTCATTTAGTCAGTTGCACAAATTAGCAATCAGCACATATTTGCTGAGCGTGTTCTAAACATAGAAATTTTTTACAACTACGGCATTTGTACTTAGTGTACTTGTTCTTGGAACGGCCACATTCATGACATCTTTGCCTTTTGGTAGCTCGAGCCTCTTCTGTAAGCTGAACTGTACCCTCATCTGGAAAAAGGCTCTGAATATCCTGCTTGAGATGTCTAGGTAATGGTGAACACTGAAAACGTCTACGCAAGGAATCATCAGCTAGATTACGACCCAAAAGTTTTAAAAACTCGCTGCATCTGGTGCTGATTGATAAATTATTTGCATGATATGATATTTGAGCCTTTATAGCTGCTACATTCATCATACTATAAAATATGATCATAGGCCATCTGTTTGTTTTCCTGGCGACATTATAAGTGTAACACAACTGGTCAACAATATCAACTCCTGATTTAGTTGCAGTATAAAAGGTTATCATATGTGGCTTGCTTTTTTCTCATGATTCATCAATTGCATCATCTTGATGCATCAGAACCAGCTTGTTTTTCTTAGTCAGCGTTGAGTCATTCTGAAACCCGAACAATGATGTTCTTACTTCCCGATTCTTTTTTGAGTTTGCGTAAACTCTGGAGGGATTTCACTCTTATTCATCCTCATGGTTCCAACCAAAGTAAGATTATTCTGAAGCAAACAATTAGCTAAATCTAACGAGGTATACCAATTGTCTACAGTTATATTGCGACCTGTTCCTGAGATTACAGAACTCAGCCGTTTTCATAACATCTGCTGGTTTGTTGCTAATTTCGAATGGACCTGCAGGCTGCTTGCCAGCATATATTTCCAGGTTTAGAGTGTAGTACATCCTAGCACCTACTAATGCAAATAAATTTTATCCCATACTTATTTGGTTTACTAGGGATGTACTGCCTGAAGAAGCATTTACCCTTAAAAGCTTCTAACTTTTCATCAATTGTACACTGAATAAGCATTCTTACAATTTTCAACAAATGGAGAAAACACATCACGTATAGGCGCTAAATTGTCAGTTATCTTCCTTATCTCTTGTGTGTCCTTATTGTCAAACCTCAAACAATATAAAAGGAACCTAAATTTTTTTTCAGACATTATAAGATGGCATAGCTGAATACCCATTTTATCAGAGGACCATATCTCCTTGGTATTTGCATGATTGACTTTTCTAGATGCACAAATGTATAATATGCCTAGAAGCGCTTTTATTTCAATTATGTCGGTCAAATGTACATCCTTTTCACGTGAATAATTTTTCTGTACTGTGGATATCTTTTCATTTGTGAATTTAACTGTATTCGACAGCATGCCGTTGTAGAAAAAACATGGCCAACATTGCTCCGGCATTCGAGCATTCTTCATGACACTTTTCACCCCTGGTAAATGAATGACAATATTATGCCGCTGAGTGCGTATATTTTTAGGTGGGGAAAATTTTGACCGTTTTGATGATTCCGGCCTAGGAAATAATTATTTGCAATATAATCATCACTATCGCTATCATTGGAGTCTATTTCTTGCTTGTAGTCTGTGTTTTCTTCTCTTGTTTCCACTCTATCTTCTTCTATATCACTATAATCATCAAAATCATCACTTGATTCATCTTCTTCCATAAGCATACGTAGTACTATTTCTCTATCACGTTCGCTTGCCATATTGAATTTTTTCTGAGAAGTCATCTTGACTCTGAAGGTAAGAAAATAACTAATAAAAAAAATTGTTGCCCATAAAAATTATAAATGCCAAAAGAAATACATTCTAACATTTAGAATTATATTCAAACAATTTCTTTTACCTGTCACTAAAATGATAAAAAAAAAAAAAAAAAAAAAAAAAACACTACTAAGGACAGCTGTTGATAATTTTAAAAATTAAAATGCTAGAATATATACATTTTAAAATACTTACATTTAGAATCAAAAACGGCCGCGTGGCATCTCCTAAACTCCAGTAGTGCCACATCAGCTTATAACCTCTTCCTCTCAGCACTAAAATGAAAATGGTCTTGTTTCTATGATTTCTACTTATTCGTGTATAGTTGACAGAAAGGTAGATGGCAGCACAAGCTTGATCTCGCATCCATTTATAAAGCCATTTAAAAAAAGAAACATCCCTGGGTCTCTGGGACGCTGCACGAGCACTGCAGGGTTAATATCATCAAAATTCTGTGAAATAAATTTTAAAATTGAAGTAATGTCGCAAAATAAAGTCACAGCAAAACAAACGAAGTCAAATCTGTCAAGTGACAGAGAAATGTTGCCAAGTAAGGGATTGAGCTGCCAAATAGTTTGGTTTCAATGACAGTCAACTATTTAAAATTCGGCAAAAGAGCAACCTAAGTTTATGTAGATTTGGAATAACTTTATCAATCAATCGATTAGGGAGCAATCAGGGAGCCAAGGGGGGAGGAATTCTACAGAAAAAGTAAAAGTCTCTAAAAACACCTACAGCAATATAAGGATTCTTTTATGTCTTAATTTAAATCTTGCATTGGCATGTTCTCTTCCAGTGAAGGATGTCGTCTAAGCAGTATCAGTCAAATAATTTTCAGAAACATTATGAACCATTCATAAATGAACTTCTTAATGCAGTAAAAGCATTATGAGCAGTTCATAAACAAATCTGAAGTTTCCTAATTGAAATGCTAGGAAAGTACCTATTTATATGTTTCTTAATATTTTTATATTGCATTAGGTTAATTGTATTGCTAATTTGAAGGATAATTTTTCTTATCACTTCTTGTTATCTAAATAGACATGGACAAAACTGATCACATTAAATGGTAAAAGTCTGCATAAAAAATATGTAGCATTTTGTTTCACTGCTGTTGATCCTAGATATGCAATACTTTCAATTACAAAAATAAGAAAAATATTCATGATTTAGCATTTTTAAATTTAAAAAATTAAGTTTATAAAAATTATTAAACCTTTTTATGTCATCTTTCAGGCAATATAGTTATACTTTGTGAAAGTTTTTATTCATTCTAAAAGATAAATGACAAATAAATAACTACTATAGAATAAAAATTCATCAAGATATTTAAAGTTTGAAATCATGTTCAGAGATCATACAAAAGTTGAAGAGCAAAATATTTAAATTTGTATGTATCTAAAAATGAAATATAATTTTAGGAAAAGATTTCTGATGTTAACAGATTTAGTAACAAACATTGGTATGTGGTCTGTTGTAAAATGTTCTGATCATTATAAATTTTTCCAAAAAGGAGATTTTATTCACAAAATTTTGCAGAATTCTCATTTCTAGAAAACAGTGGCAGGCTTCAGTGTTGGTGTATAACCAACTTAAAACACTGTTTTCGTAAATCAAAAGTAAAAAATATTTCTATTCTAATGAATCTATTTGTATTAGATTATGGTTGTAAAGTATTAAAACTGCAAGTAAAGTGTTTGCATTTTTTTTTTAAAGTATTCACCAATTTATAAAAATATTTTTGTGGAAGTTTTTAAGCATGCAAAATGTAATAAATTTGCAAAAAACATTCTGTGCTAGAAAATCGCATAGGAATATCACTAAATTAAAAGGAAAAAAAAATCGACTGTGAATTGTAATTTGCTTTTTTAAGTTATCCATCAAGAAAATGAAGTGGCAAAAGTTCTATGTTTTGAAATTAAATATCTCGATTTTTATCACTGAGTTAAACTTTTTATGTTTAGAAAAGTGTAAAGTTTTACTATGTGTAATTATATAAGCATTGAGGAGCTGTTTAAAGAGTTATATTTCATAATTTTTACAAAAAAAATATTTTGTAAATTTAAAAATATCATATTATGTATATTTGTATTCTAAATACTTTTTTTTATAATTAAAAGCATATGTCTGCGACTCGTTGGGAAAATAAAGGGTGCATAAGGTCTTTGTGAATGTTGTGTATGGTTATATGCACATTTAAAGTAAGAGTAAAAATTTTTATTTATGTACTTATTTATTTATTTTTTTATATTCTGTATTGAATAATTAAACTAGGTGCTATTGTAACTATAAGTTTATTTCTTATTTTTTTTAAGGGTGCTGCACCAGGACTAAAATCGCAGAAATCATCTGCGTCACCAGTGCGACAGTATTTGAATCAGTTTGTTCCTTTCCTTCTTGAAGGTCTAATGAAACTAGCTTATGTGAGGTAAGTTTGAAAAATAAAATTATAATAGATCAGAGGTTAAGTTATTGCACTGGACCCTGGTTCCTGTACATCTTTATTTTCTAGAGGAATTGTAATTTTAGCCAGAGTGCACCAAAGCACTAAATAAGTATGTTCTGGCAGTTTTTTATGTAACTGAACCACTACTTCAGCAGAATTTTTTTTTATCCTGAAAATTTTAATTTATTAACCCTCTGGGCGGCTTGGGGTTTCGCTAAGAAAGCACAAATTTCCCAAAACTATTATGAAGACAAATTATTTTTTTGATTTCAATGTAAAAACTCTACTGGTATTTCATACCTGGATTTGTTTTCTTTTGATATATTGCCTTAATTTCGTTAACATATTTTAATATGCACGTGTATATACGTTCTTACAGATATTACAATAAATATTCTAGGCCGTATATATACAGCCTTGCCGCTTAGGGGGTTAATAAGCAAGCATCAGCTATTGAGTCTAACTTTTGGAATATGTGCCTCTGTTTTCCTGAGAAGCAAACCTTTGGATGGATGTTGAGACTTTGAAGAAAAGAAAAGCTCCTACCCACATGTCAAAGACTTATTCTTTGAGGGGAAAGTGGCAAATTTACAACAGCTGATAAATTTTTTGTTCCCAAAAGAACTAGAAATGATTATCCAGATTATGCTCTCTTCCAGCATTAGAGACTTTCTGTGAAAATGACCATGTCTTTTGAAAATAATGTAACTAAATACAGGGTATGAAAATTGCCACTTGTGAGAACTTTATTCTCAGCTTACAAATCAAATGACATATGGGGAAATTGTTTTTCTTTGTGACATTCTGCTCAACAGCCAGAATTATATTTGTAGGGAATCGTGGTCAGATGCTGTTAGACTTCCCTTTTGTTTTCTTTCCTACACATATTTGTTAAAACTTACTTCATATTCTGTTATTGTTAATGTAATTCTCATTATTTTCATTAATGATGCTTTAACTGTTTTACAATTTTGGCACCAGAGGAGCTATTAATTTCAAGACTCGCTTTTTGTCCGAATCACTTCTCAGGTTTTTGCCTCCAAGTGGTATCACGATGTATTATATTTTTGAAAAATTAAATAATGAAGAATCTGCATATATGTGCGTTTTTGGTATTGTAGAAAAATGGCGACACCTGGAGCCACCAAATTTTTAATACATTTTCTCCAGCTGTCATCTCGAAACCTAAATTTTGAATTTGAAATTTGTTTCGGATTTATTTCATATTTTGTACAAATTTAACTCATTTTTGTTCAAACGCAACAACTTGAAAGTGAGAAGTAGCGACATTGTTTGAAAAAAAAATTTTTTTGGTCCCACTGTTGCCATTAAGCAAAATGTAAAATAATAAACCTTCTATTTTAGTTCACAAATTTGGTTATTTGAAAGCAACATGTTGCCACTACCTCAAATGGAATACTTACTATCTCCATGCACCAGCATTTTGTCATTTATAGCATACTTAACTTTCAAATTTAATCTTTCTGTTACTGACCAGCAAACCAAGTGACTGAAAAGCAGCAAATGTAGTTCTTAAAAATATTTTTTCTACCTTTTTAATCTGTTTGATTTAAATAATAAAACATTTAGGTCACAAGATGTCTTATTAAAAATATTGAATATTTCTATGAAATGACTGTGGCTGGACTCATTGAAATCATCATGAACTTTTTCTTTTTTATAATAACACTTTTAGGCAACTGTCCACTCTGACTAGATTTCAAAGAAATAATACTGTGAATATATATATACACACACACATATATATATATACATATACATATATAAATGCATGGCAAATCCCAGCGCTTTATTGGGAATTCTAAAGATATGTTGAATTTGAATATTTTGTGATTTTACTCTTGAATTTTATGTGTCATAAGTGCAAAGAAGGCGATGCTTAATAATAAAACTAAAAAAGACAAAAGAAAATTAATTTAGCAGGAGTGAGTCCAAGAGTGGGCTGGCGACTTGTTCTTCAAGAGCATAGAAAACCTTAACAAATCCTTTAGTGTGTGGAAAAAGAATGGTCTTTTTTTTCTGCTATTCCTTGAAGTAGTAGTTCATAATACTGTATATTTAGAGCTTAAATTTGGCTGGAGTCTGAATGAACTATTTAATAGTTTCTAATGAAATTATAATTCTGGCTGGAGATCCAAATAAAATTAGGGTTGCTATTTTATTATTTAACTATTTATCATTTATTTAATAATTTGTTAAATTTTTATTTCATGTTACATATTATTGAATTTTAATTAATTAATTTTTAATCAATTTATTAGATTGATTACTTTACTCATTCTTTAGTTATTTTATTTACTTATTTTTGTTCCTGTTTTCTAACAGCCTTCCGTAGGGTTCTGGCACATCTAATTTTAAAATTAAATCTCTGTCTTACGTACTTCATAGACTTCTATGTAAAATACTCTTATTACAGGAACATACATTTCCTTTCTTCAAAATAAATACTCCATAACATGATCTTTAAATTATTTTCTTTTAATCAGAACATAAAAAGATTTACATGCATAATATTTAGAGCTCAAAGTGTATTATATAATGTTATACCATGGCACTTCCTCAGATAACTATGCAGTCATCTTTTTTGTTGTCTACCAGGGGCGACACGATACAAATTCAAAACCTTGGAGAGACGAGCAAAGTCCTTCCAAAGAGTTGAAGGGAAGGAAAAGTTGTATGGCTTATTTTTCTTCTTTTGATTTGCTACTGCCTTTCCCACTGGTTTTGACGTCTTCCCAAGGAATAACTAGCATTATATTTTCTGGGACATCAAATTTGTCACAGCTGCACTCATCACAGTTTTCTATGTAATATGCAATGTATTTGCATATTCCTGTGAAATATTACCTTTGGGAAATTCTGTGGCTATGTTCTTTCAGCACCATATGCCATGCTGTAGGATCATCACGATATTCCTTAAATATTTTCTCTTGTTCATATATTGGTACTACTAAATGAACTTTCTCTGATTCAGAGTTTGGTGAAAAGCAATAAAAGTCCATGATTCATTATATAATCTTGTCTGGTCCAATTAGAAAAATTTTCATCTTTTGGTTTAACTTCGAAAGATACCTTGATCTTTCTGTATCCTTCAGCTGTTTTACACAAATTTCTGCTGCACTTCTGTTTGGCATATCAATAGTTATCATACAAATTTCACATAATTCTCCTTCATGGTTGCATATATAAGTGTAACAATATATTGGCTACAAAATTAGCTCTTCCGTGAATGTATTCCACATTCAAGCATTCCATCTTTAGGGCATCTTTGGTATAGCAGAGTTTTTTTCTGAATCAACCTCTACTCCTTCACCAGTAATCCAATGACCAAGATACTTCACTTCACTTTACTGCAAACAAAAGCACAGTTTCTCGCGATTTGCTTTAATTTTGAATTGCAGCATCTGTCGAAAACTGTTTCTAGATCAGCTACATGTTTTTTTGAAAGTCTCTAATAGTATTATAATACCATCTATACTGGTCATCAAAATTAAAGGATAATGACAGAAATGAAACATGACTGATACTTAATGAAATATTATTATAAATTTGTACGAAAGCATTAGTTAACATAAATTACAGCGTTTGGCAGTTGATTATTCACAAATTATTGACATTAAAATCAAATTTATTGAAATTGGAAAATAATGGAAAAATTTGGTCACCTCTTGTTGAAAAAAATTTTCTTTAACTCCTTAACTGCCGTAGACATGTATATATGCCTTGCTCAGCCGATGCGTTAACTGCCCCAGGCGTATATATATATATATATATATCCTCTTCCGAAATGCTAGCATTGCTTTGCACTGTTACCAGTAAAATTATTCGCAAAGCCTTGGAATGGAACACCACAATGAACTTGACAGAGTATGCAAAGGAGGATACTATTTAAGAGAAGAAGGGAAGACCTAGAGAGGGGGATGTTTCTGAAATGGTGAAAGCAATGACTGCCCAGTTATTCGTCTTGTTTCTGAGTAAAACATATTTTTTTTATTGCGTGTGTTCCATTTTTGTTTACAGTTTTCAGTATGTACGAATATATATGACAGTGAAATACACGATTACTTTACATTATCTTCAGGATCAGACACCTCAGAATATGATATTACATTAGATGAAAAGAATTGCGACTATTCTCTGAAAGATGCTCAACATTTGGTACGACTTTTTATAATAATATTTGCCTATGCCACCTCCACGCTTTCCATTTAGGTATACTGATTTTACAAGATAAACACTAAAACCTGATATTACACTCTACTGGTTTAAAAATAAACTGATCAAAACTCTCATTTTGAGGGATCTTTTTTATTATACAAACATCATTTTTATAATACTTTTACTCTAAACATTAAATTTTGTATTTTCATTTTTTCTTTTACTCTTTATTTTGTGAAAGTAAACAGGTTAGATAGCAAAACTTGCATTTATTTTCCCCCTAATGCATTGCATAACTACGAGTGCCTGTGTAAAAAATGGTGAGCCTTGTACGTTTTCCGTGGCAGTTAAGGGGTTAATATGGTGTATGGTCACCTCGGACAGATATACGCACCTCACATCTTCATTCCATAGACATTACCAGAATATTGATCAAGTCTTGTATAGCGATGGGCAACTTCGGTACTTTCTTGTACCCAGAACGAGAGTAACGGGTACAGACAAGTACCCGGTACGAAATACCCGTTACTCAAGTAACCGTTACTTTGAAAAGTACCGAGTACCGAAGTAACGAAATACCGGAGTACCCTACTAACGGTTTGCTGTACCAGAGTATCCTAGTAACGATTTGGAGTACCCTAGTAACGATTTGGAGTACCGAAATACGCAGCTAACGATTTTGCACACTGAAGGAACTCTGCCACGTCACCACGTGTTTCATTTTATATGTACGGAGTAAGATTTTGAATATCAGAAAACATGTCAACTACGGAAGTGTCTGAGGAGCAGGAGAGCGCGGCGGG